GCTCCCTGCTCAGCAGGAAGTCTGCTTCTCCCTCTCCCCTCCCCCTGCTCATGTGCTCATGTTCTCTCTCTAGCTTGCTGTCTCTTTCTTAAGTAAATAAATATTTTTGGGAGTGCCTGGGTGGCTATGTGTTTTCTGTATTACAAGATTCACATCATTTTGGTTGGTTGAGCAGCTGCCTTCAGCTCAGGTTATGATCCTGGAGTCCTGGGATTGTGTCCTGCATCAGTCTCCTGGCTCAGCAGGGAGCCTGCTTCTCCCTCTGACCCTCTCCCCTCTCATGCTGTCTCTCTCTCTCTCAAATAAATAAATAAAATCTTTAAAAAATAATAATCTTTATAATAAAAAAAAAAAGACAAAAAACTAGGGGCGCCTCGGTGGCTCAAATGGTTAAGCATCTGTCTTCAGCTCAGGTCAAGATCCCAGGGCCCTGGGATCAAGCCCTACATCGGGCTCCCTGGGAGCCTGCTTCTCCCTCTCCTTTTACTGCTACCCCTGCTTGTGCTCTCTCACTCTGTCAAATAAATAAAATCTTTTAAAAAAACAACTAGTTTCCTGGTTTAAGATTATAAAATAGTGACCTTGCATTTACCTTATTGGTGCATTGAAAATTTTATGTCTTATAAATGCTTTTGTATTTCTTCCTGTTACCTATTTTTTGTTTTTTGTTTTTGTTTTTTGCAAAGTGAAATCTTACTCGATTTCTTTTTGGAACATAGGTTATTATTTTTTTTTTTAAGAGTTATTTCTTTTAGAGATTGGGAGAGAGAGCACATGCTTGGGGGTGGAGGGGCACGGAGCCCTATGTGGGGCTCTATCCCACATCCCTGAGATCATGACCTGAGCCAAAATCAAGAGTTGGACACTTAACCAACTGTGCCACCCAGATGCCCCAGAGCATAGGTTTTTAAAGATGTTTTGTTGCAAAGGCAACAAATGGTGTGGCCACCATTTTCTATCCCTTGGTACATAGTTCTTAGCCTTTGTGAGGCAGGTCTCAGTGTCCATCACTAACATAACATTTTTAGTATTGGAGGCCTATAGATAAAAAAAAAATTTGCTGGCTCAGTCTGCTTCTCCCTCCCCCTGCTCCTGTGTTCTTATTTACTTTCTATCTTTCTCCCTCTCAAATAAATAAAATCTTAAAAAAAATTACTTTCATAAATTCCAAAAAAAAAAAAAAATCTGGAGAACATACCAGTTATGGTATCTTGGAAGGGAGAGAGATTCTTCCTAGCAAGGCTAAGGAGAGAGGTCCTATATTTCTTAGTACTCACTGATGGCTTAAATAGATCCAATAAAAATTGGTGTTCTGTAGCAATCTATAACTGACACCATAAGAATTTCTAATCTGAATTATTTCAGAGTATTTTTCTATAATCCATGCTTCTTTTAATTTTAAGCAGTCTTGTTACATTTCTCATTTGTGTTTTTTCTCTTTGACTTTCCTAAATTGACTCTGGAACAAGAGGAACCACACAACTTCCAGAAGTCTTTGCCATTTTGTATGTGAAGGCTCCATTGTGCCATACTGCTGGGGAAGCTAATGCCTATGGGCTTTGAATGTAGTCATTGACTGGGGTGAGGGCATGTTGCACGCCTAGGGTTCTTTTAAGAGGTGGAATGCTAAATCTAAGCAGAAAGGTGGCACCCTGGTAGCTAGGGTAGAAGCTAGGTGATTATTTACACTGACTTTTTTTTTTTCCCCCTTCCATACAGCGCTCTGGTCTGGGGTCTCTCTGTGAAACACAATCCTCAAAAAGTGGGTAAAGATCATACGTTGGAGGACGAGGATGTCATTCAGATTGTGAAGAAGTGAAACCTTCCTCCTGCCCATCTGCTGGGCCAACCATAGCAGCTATTCCCATAACCAAGCTATTCCCTACCCCAAACCCTTTTGAGCTTTGGCATCCAGTGGATCAGGATTTAGGGGAGGGAGATGAAGGCATCTGGAGGCAAGCTGGAACTTTACTTGTCTTAACTTGGTGTCACCTTGTAAATTGACTGCATAAAGGACCTGGTAGGCCAAGCCAGCTCTGTGCAGTTCATGTGTCGTCAGAATTTGTTTTGGGTTGGACTGAATGAGGACGGGTACGTACTGTGAGGCATCTGCAGAAGGGGTGCTTGGGAGCTTGGTCTTAAGTGTGGAATGGATCAGAATGTGACTACAACATCTTATTTGATGTTTAGTCATGAGAAACCCTTCCAACTGGATGTGGCCTTCATTTTTTTCAAGTGGTCTTTTGCAGGCGATACTGGAAAGAGGAAGGACATGATGTAAGTTAACTGGTAATTCCCTGCAAGGCTGGTCAATTTGGGATATAGTGTCATGTGACAGTTGAGTAAAGTACTCTAACCAGATGCATCAAGAGTTTGAATTGCATGGCCACTTCTAATTAGCTGTGAAACCCTGCATAAATTACACAACCTTTATAACTGTCCCATTTCCTTATGTAACACGGAGATGGTGATAGCACTTACCTTCTAGAGTGGAGACTGTTAGTATTAAGGGAGAGATGGTAGTTGTAAAATTATTTAGTGTAGTATCTGGCACAGAAGTACTTAGTGAATGTTGGCTGTTACCACTGGTCACTTTCCTTTACCTGAGCGGAGCAGGTTTGTGTATATGTGTATGTATGGAGGTGGGATGTTATAAGGGAAGGTGGGGTCGGGACTACTTGAGAGGGTACTGAGGACATAATGAGAGGTTTTGGGCTGGGAATACAGGGATATAAAGGGATCATCCTGGTACTAGGAAATTCATAGGCAAAAATCTTTGTGGTAGACTGGGTTGGTGGTAATAATGGCAGAGGGAGGGTGTGGTTATGTAGGTAGGTACCCAGAAGTCTAAACTTGGTAATTGACTGACTTCCTCTTTGGTGAAAAAGAAGTCAAAGATTATTTCAGTATGGATTACAGGGATGATAGAGAAGGGTAGTCCCTGAGAAAATGAGGAATGGAAACAGATTTGCAGGAAGACAGTTTGATTTTTAGATGAAGTGAGCTAGAGCTTCTAGCAGGTTGTGAGGGATGGGGATGTGGGATTATCCACATCAGACTCAGCCTTTTCCAGTATAGTACTTGTTATTCATGCTACCTTAGTAACAGTTGTTTCTCTGATCATCTTTCTGGAGCTTGGGGTTAGCATTGTCTCCAGACCCAGGAGATATGCCTGGTATCCCAGTGACTTTGCAGGATATAAACTTTGATATCACTGTTGCATTCATGATAGGTATAAGACCAAAATCTGGACCTACCCCCAGCTCTTTAGAGAAACATTGGCTGAGCTATGGGATTTCCAGCAAGGTTTGCTCTCCAACCAGAGCAAATACTGGGGTTCAGAGAAATCCTCATGTTCAAAGTCACGTCATTGAACAAGGATTTAGCACCGCCAGCATTTGTGTAGAAGAGGTTGCTGAAATCTAGTTCGTCAAAGACCTCAGGATGTGCTTTGAACAGGCCTTGCTTCCATCATTCAGCATCCTCCTCTCCGCCTGTCATTGACCCCGATGCTTAAGGAGAGCATTACCCTACCATTTTCCTTTCTTTCCCTTTTGGGCTTAGACTTGAGAGTTCTGGGAGAGGAATCCTATCAAGGGTAGGGCTGCTAAGGAGAGGCATTCCTTTAGTAAAGGCTTTCTCTTCATGGACTCCCAAGATTACAATGGTTTGGCTGTCACAGCATGGCTCGAATTTCCTATATGGTTACACATTCCATTTCTTTTGTGATTTTTTTAAAAAGTTCATTTATTTAAGCAATCTCTGCACCCAGTGTGGGCCTCTACCTCATGACCCTGAGATCGAGAGCTACATGTTCTACCCACTGAGCCAGCCATGTGCCCCTTTCCTGATTTTTTGGTAGCACAACGTAACAGACTCACTGTCCTGTGCCATTAGTTAGAATGCCTTTAACTGTGTTTAACAGCAAACACTAACTTAACAAGCTGAAGTGGAAGGAAACTTGATCTCTCATCTAAGTTGTAACAGTGCTCAGATGGGCTCACAGTAGCTGTGGTGCCATTGAAGATCCAAATTTTTTCATCAGTCAACTCTGTCCACTGCAGTTTATTGGCTTTGCTGAGCAGCTAGGTCCCCTCACAATCAGAATGTCTGCTGCAGTCCCAGGCTTTACATCCAGCATCCAGAGGATAGTAATGAGGACTGATTCTTACTGTTGTGGGAAGCTGTTTCCCAGAAACTGCCCAGTTTGTCCTTGTGTCTTATGTCCTAAATTGGGCACAAGCCTGTGCTTGAATCAGCGGTTGAAGAGAATAGAATTATTGAAGAGTTTACTCCTGTAAGTTATCTTCATTCCTGGGTTTTTTTTTTTTAAAGATTTTATTTATTTGACAGAGATCACAAGTAGGCAGAGAGGCAGGCAGAGAGAGGAGGAAGCAGGCTCCCTGCTGAGCAGAGCAGAGAGCCTGATGCGGGGCTCGATCCCAGGACCCCGATCCCAGGACCCCAAGATCATGACCTGAGCTGAAGGCAGAGGCTTAACCCACTGAGCCACCCAGGTACCCCCATTCCTGGATTTTGTTTGCTCATCTTACTCATTTAAAGGAAGGGCCGGTGACCCTGCTGCTCCTCTTAATAGAACCTCTTAAAGATACTCAATAGCTGTCTCCTGAAAGAAGGGCTGGCTATACTAGCCTATTTTTTCCCCACTTCTTACTGGTTCCCCTGACTTCCTATGTACTCGCTGCTCAGCTGCTTCCTTTGGGAGGCATTTTCTTTGCTCCTGCCTGACCCACCCTCCTTAAAGGCAGGTCTTCCATGAGGGTCTTTGTGGCATTCCTTTTTTTCTTTTTAAAGATTTTTTCATTTATTTGACAGAGTACAAGTAGGCAGACAGGCAGGCAGAGAGAGAGAGGAGGAAGAGGCAGGCTCCCTGCCGAGCAGAGAGCCCAGTGTGAGGCTCGATCCCAGGACCCTGGGATCATGACCTGAGCCGAAGGCAGAGGCTTTAACCACTGAGCCACCCAGGCGCCCCTGTGGCATTCCTTTTTTATTTTGAGGCTGCCTTCCACATCCTGATTTAATTGTAGTTGACACACAGTGTTACATTAGTTTTAGGTATACAACACAGATCCAACAAGTCCACATGTTATGCTCACAAGTGTAGCTGTCACCATGCAGTACCATTGCCTATATTCCCTCTGCTGTATCTTTTATTCCCATGATTCTCTTGACCTTTGTGTTGTACATCTTTCTAGTCCTGATTGCTTCTAAACACCTCAGACCTGCTAGACTTCCCAAAGTTGTTACATATATGACCCCTCCTGTTAGCAGAGGCATCATTTCCTCCTGCCCTGACCCTTTTATCAGGCTCTTAGCTCCTGAAGACTGCAGTAGCTTCCTCTTCTGCTTCCATTCCCTCCCCTGCACCAAAATAATTTTAAAATCCACCTTCGGCTGTGCTAGTGTTTGCAACATTCCCTTACTTCCTTCTGGCTCTATCTCACCAACCACTGGCAAATGGCTTTGCCCATTGCTTGGTGCCTACATTGTTCATTTCAGTCGTTATCAGCTTCTAGTCTGAAAATTGGCAACTCGAGCCCAATTCTTCCGCCAAACACCTATAACTCTTGGTTCAACATGAAGCGGGGGAAGGAAGTCAAAGAAGACACAGGAAAGGTGGAACTGGATTCAGGCATCTGTTTTCTATTGTCTTTAGACTGCTTTCCAGCTTCTGCTTGTGGAAACAAAGCATTTGCAAGAATTCTAAACAAAGGCTTTTATTTCTAAAGCTAAGAATTCCCAAGAGCAAATCCCATGAGGGCCTGGGGAGTGGGAGGACTGATGAAGTACAAGGACAAGACAGACCTCATGCTCAGTCCATAAAGCTAGGTTTTGCTGAAAGGCAATCTAGTTTCTTGTGTTCCTGGAAGTAACAAGTCATGGTGGGCAGCTCCAGGCTCATAGGCAACACTCCTAACACTGAAGACTCAGGCTATTTTTTTACCCTTGTAATCAGTCACCTTGGCCTTCATCTGTGAATCAGAGAACTACCTCATTATTTGACCCTCTGGCATGAAGTCAGAGTAGCGTTGATGGCCCTACATGGACAAGTATTGAGAACTAGGGCAGATGGATTCAAGTTTGAGAAATAAAAGTTACCACTTCAGAGAGTAGGACTAAAAAACCTTCAGTCAGGAAAGGGGGCTCAAGACCATAGCTAAAGTATTTTGGTAGAATACTGTCTAATGCTGTGCATACAGTTAAGATGAATAATGAAAATAATTATGAGCTGAGGAATGAGACACAAAACACAAAGTCTGTTGACACAGTCTTGAGGGCAGTTTCATATAAAAAAGACTAATTAATGGATTGAGTGAGAACTCTCCGGTCCTATTTTTCTTTTATAGGGGCTTATGAGCTGGAGAACAGGATGTTGATAGACTAATCACTTTTGCCCGAGTAAACATGGATTTGTTTGGGAGAAGCTACCATATACATGATTACCCAATACATTGTTTTCACTGGCTGATTTTAATCGAAGACTGTACATGTTATAATCTGGTGTTAACTGCAAGGTTTCCTATAGGGTCATTCCAGCCTAAGCTGGCCCATTAGGGTCTTTAAGGCTCAAAAAAGATGGCCAGTGCTTCTTCCTTCTAAATGAGGTAAAGAGTTTAATTCTTAAGTTTAAGAAAAATTAAAACTTCAGATCATTTCCCTTGGGGAACCTACTGAACCTCATAGGTTAGCTGGCTGTAAATGAGAAGGAATGAATTCAGAAAGAAATACAACAATGTCATTCACTTCATTCACACACTTAGCATATGCAACTTTAATCAACCAAAAGAAAAAGTCCCAAATGTACAAGTGAAAAAAATCAAATTGTTGACACAGGCTTAACTAATATCAGCTACTTTTATGTACAGCTGTATAAGTTCAAAAAAGCTATCCTATATGTATATACAAAAGTTGTTTATACACAAGTCTGTACATAGGGTCTATACATTTATTTCCTCAGAACCCTTAGGTGCCACCTCTTGGTGAAGACACCAACACTTCATTCACATATCTTACAAAAAAAGACTACTGCCAGGATTGACAACAATGTGCATCCTGTATTCAGACCACATAGGCTCCATTCGATTGGTTAAGATCCTTCCCTCAGTGCAGACCACACCAGGTGCCTGGGCTTCCCTAAATAGCTTCACAGAGTGCTCCAAAGTAAAACTCCATAAACCAACCCGCAATGAGGAAGCAGAGTCCTAATCAAGGTGCCACCATAGGTCCAGGCACAGGTTAGTCTGCCTGCCCTGTTCATTGACGATACTCCAATTCATCTACACTGATGACTTTGGCAGGCATGGAGGGCAGGGGCTGCTGTAGCACATCTGAGCCAAACCATTTGGCAAGGCCCACCGGGGAGCTGCTCCTCTGGCTGGGGCGATGCTCCAGCTGGGAGTGCACGTGGGGCAGGCCTGACCTGGTGGGCACATTCTGAGGGGTCGTCTGAACGCTGACAGCTGCTGCCTGGGAACCAGAGCCTGGAGGATGAAGAACTATGGGGATGAGAAAGAAGGTTATCATTCAGAGCATGTAGGGGAACATAGTTCTGTATCAGGCTTTGTCTCCTTCAAATCCTTACAAAATGCCAGAAGACAGCACCTTGGAAAGCACAACTATTCAGAAGCCATCATAAATGACATGACCACTACTGCCCGTAACAAGCAGCCCTATCACAGAAGTAATAACATTAGCTGCTGAGAAGGCATCTACTCTGGATAGTCTCCATGCTAAATCTGTCAGCCTCCTCTCCTTAAGAGGCAGAGGACCAAAAAAATGCCAAAAGCATAGTCTGCTCTCTGTCTATAGGAATAGGAGTTCCAAATCCCATAGAGGTTGGTTTACTTCATCCTATTCTCTGGTTATCTCCTTATCCTACTCTTGCTAGGATAAGTTACAGAATGAATCACATAATTCATCCCCTCACTGGAAACTAGTCCAAAAGCTTGAAGCCTATTCAGGCCATCCCCTGCTCCCCTGGCCCAATCCTGAGCCTACCTGAGCGCTGTAGCTGCTGCTGCATCATTGCCAGATGCAGAGGTGTCCCAGGGCGAGGGTTTAGGAGAGGGTGACTAGCTGCAGGTAAAGGGTAAAAGGGTTGACCCAGGATTGGGCCAGATATTCCCTGTAAATGAGTCAGGTCCATCCCAGGAGGAAGTACACCTGTTGGGCAGGGGTAGAAAAAAAAACTGGTAAGACGTAATCTGCCTGGAAATTTTCAAGCTTTGCTGATCCACAAGTTGATCAGTGAGCAATGCTTAAGCTAGCTTCATTTTTCTATAGACTAAGGGATAGTTTGGATTGGACCCACTACCCACCAGTTAGATGGAAAAATCTAGCAACATTTTTCTAGGGATAAAAAAACCTCTCAAAACTATTACTTCATCAGTTCTGGCAACTGCTGTCATGCAAGGTCAGAAACTCACCAGCTTGGAGCAAACTTGGAAGATGCTGTGGATGTATTCCCTGGGCCAGCATCCTTTGGACCAACCCTGGGTGAAGCTGGTGAGCAGGCCGCACGATCGGGACATGGGGGACAAGGGGAACTTGGTGGACAGGGCGGAGAAAAGGTGTTCCTGGAACTGGGGATGCCAAGGTGGGTGTTTTTCTCCCAGTTGCTTTAGGTCGATAATCTTGCTCTTTGGTGTAACGGTTAGTCTGAGACAGTGGGGTAGAACATGAAGACCGCTGCAGTGTTGGAAGTTTGGGATTTGTAGTGGGAGAAGAGTCCCGATCAGCACTGGGCACAGAGTTCGATGACAGCAAGTTCTCTGTAAGGACCCAGAGAATATTTTGGTATTGGCAAACTTCACCCAAACATGGCCTTCCCAACGATCTAGCAAATCTCATTTCTTAGAAAGTTTACAGTCCTTAATTGATCCCCTCAGCATATTTAGAGGATTGTATCATAAAAACCATCATTTTGGCCTCATGAGTAGGCCTAGTCAAGGTAACAGGAGTAGTTAGAACAGAGCTGGAACTACACCCCAGGAATGCTAGTCTCCAAATACCTTGCTGGAACAGAGTTTATTTTTCTTACAATCCTCCCAACCCAGGAACAGCTATGGGCAAGTGAAGCTGGGTTAAGGTCTGGCTGTCTAACTTAGGCACCTTGCTCTGCCTGTCCATATGGCTGTGGTTCAGATCTGTGTGGGAACTAGTACTGTCCTAGTCAAGTGCTTGGGATTAACACGCTTTTTTTTAGCCTAAGGAGAAAATCAAATGAAAGTAAAATTATACAAATCCATCACAACAGAAATTAGAGTCTAGTGAAGGAATCTGAACTGCCTTTTAGTAGAACCAATAGGATTTCCTTTTTCCCAGAAGCTTTCTCACAGGCAAAAAGCTCTCAAACCAATACTATAGACTTGTGTAAACCTAACTTACTAGAATCTATTTCACCACATCCTTGATAGTCCCAACTGTGCAACATTTTCTATATACTTTTTTTTTTTTTAAGATTTTATTTAGTGAGCAAGTGAAAGAGCACTGCACACAATCAGAGGGAGAGGCAGAATCTCAAGCAGACTTCGAGCTGAGCAGACAGCCGGGGCTCCATCTCATGACCCTGAGGGCATGACCTGAGCCAGAATCAAGAGTCAAGACGGTTAGCCAACTAAACCACTCAGGTGCCCCTTCTACATACTTCTAAAAGGCTCTCCACACCTTATGCTTCACCCATTCCTGGGTGAGGAATCTGCCTGGAAATTTTCCTGGGTGAGTCTCCATAGACTAGAGAGAACATTTCAGAAGTAAAATGGGTTGTACCACATTAATTTGCCAAATAAATGTACTAATAATTCAACTTTGAAGCCTCAATAGCATTCGAAACTAGGGGCACCTGGGTGGTTTAGTTGGCTAACCGTCTTGACTCTTGATTCAGGTCATGATCCTAGAGTCCCAGGATGGAGCCCTGCATCCAGGTCCCTGCTTAGCAGGGAGTCTGCTTCTTCCTTTGCTCCTCCCACAAGTTTATGTTCTCTCTCTCTCTCAAATAAATAAAGTTCTTAAAAAATGATTCTAAACTAAAACTCACTCTTCCTCATACTAGCACTCATACCACTATTAGGTTGGTCAGAATTTCAGAGGGCTAAGCAATTGTGAACTGGTACAGTGCTTTTCCCACTGTCAGACACCGAACTATGGTCCAAAGCAGCAGGAGTTTTGTGTAGAGATTTGCCGAGAATCAGACCAGCTGGTGAACACTCAACCCTGTGCTCCGTCACATACTTTCTTGGGCAGTACACACTCAAGAGCTCTGCATTACCTTCACTGGCCTTCTGAGTGTCGTCTTTACTGTCACCAAGAGCTGCTTTTCCAGATGCTGGCTCCTCCTTGCTTTTCTCTTTGCTTTCATACATCTTACGAATCACTGAGGTAGGGGTGAAGGAAGGAGAAAGCTGCAGAGAAAAACAGTATTAGCGTGTTCTCTAAATGTCTTTCCTAATCAAGCCAGGCTTAACTGGTCAAGCTGCTCAACAAGCTGAAGAGCCAGTTCCCTGATTAGCTACACGTGGCAGAGACCAACTCCAACCTTCTGGTGTCTAGCTGCTGGAGGAAGAGAAACAGGATGGACCAGACAGGTGGTACCCCAAGTGCACCATCACTTGTTCACATCGCATTTTCATCAAAACCTAGATTTAGCTCTAGCACAAAGGTAGTTAAAGCACAGAGCTTCAACCTATCTACCTGTCTGTGTCTGTGGTGATAGGGGCCTACCTATGGTAGCCCTGCTTCAACCATCTCCCACGCCTGGGATTAGGCTGAGAACAGGGAAGAACATGGCCAGAAGTATACCCTAGAGCAAGAGCTTTACCAGTTGGGGAAGTTCAAAGACAACCTCAGAACCTAAATTTTTCTATACTCTTAACATATCCCATCTTAACTTGGCTACCAGAAAATTCACAATTGTGTTAACAGTCTCCTCACCCCTTAGGATTCACCTTTTGGGTTCATTTGTTCCCATCTCTTCAATATCCATTTTAACTTTGATCATTGTGCATGTGCCTTTTCTCATTAACCCTAACTCCTCGATGGCAGGGGACAGGGCATGAATTATGAATAGAGAACCCCTTCTAGACCCTGTCTTCAGAGTGCTTGGTGCAAAGACCCACTTGGGGTCCAAAAGCAGAGTAACAGTTTTAACCCTTCTCTATCAGCTTTGATGGTGATAGAAGTTTCTGGGGGATAAAACTTATAAAAAGAAAACGAAAAGCTAATATATGAATGAGTCAGTTGTAAAACTAGATTTAACAACACAAATAAGCAAACTCCTTTGTCCTAGCTTTAATTCATATCACAGACCTGAATCTGTGAAGTCCCCAACATGTTTCACTGGATTCCCCATGATCCAACCCATTCACCCCATCCATTTCACCTCCTATCTTTCACCCTATCATCCTCTACTCCCTACTCCAACTATTCATTTGTTTGAACATATTGTATCACTTGGTATGTTTTAGTCCATACTCCTCCATCTGCTGGAACATACCTTCCCCAATGTAGGGGCTTCACTAGAACCCTAAGAGTTAAGACTGCATCCTGAAAGGGGAAGATCAAATAAATAAGCAGGTATGATAGACTATTAAGCCAGTTACTCCTATGAAGGCACTTAAGGATATTTTGGGGTACATGGCGATATAAGCACAATCAAACGGAGAAGCCTTCACGTCATTTACAAAAGCAGAGGTCACTGACCATGCTTGTGATGGAGGCAGCGGGGGCAGGGGAAGAGGAATTCCCTCGGTGCACGGGTGCTGGTGACTTGGTCACTCGCTGTTGCCTGTGAACAAACCAAGTAGCAGTATGAGCTTCAAGCTGCTCGAACTCCAAATCCTAAAACCAAAGAATACTCAAGACCAGCATAGGACTTGGATATCCCATTTTCATCATCCATTTAAACTTTCCAAGCATTTATTAAGTGCCTAACATATGTAAAACCACATGCTAAGTTCTGAAGGAAGACAAAAGATTAAACATGGTCCTGGGCCTTGCAAGAATTCTTCTTGTCTAGTGGGGAGACACTAACGAGGGCAAACTAAGGCACGTAGATATAACAGTAAAGTGAAATGGAAAATGAAGTAGAGAAGGAGTGACACAATACTCCTACTGGAAAGACTCCGGGAAAGCGTCTCTGAGAAGGAGCTGCATTAAACTGAGTGGGACCGATGAGAAAGCTGTAACATGGAGCACAACAATTCAAGCAAAAGGATTAGGTATAAAGCCTTGGGAATGCAGGGTTATCCAGGACTGGCGTGTAGTTGATTTGTAGGTTATGTCAGTGGGAAGCTTATGAGTGAGTCTTCATTCTGTGGGCCAGGCTGTGCTGAGAGTAGGGAGCAATACTGATGCGAACAGGGCCTGGTGTAGAACTGATGCTATGTAAGACACTGCTTTAAATCAAAGCACCAAGAGTTTCAGCTATCTCAAGACCCAAGAACATGCAGCATCCCCCAATACTCCTGGTCCACAGACAAGGTTGATCCCAGGCCTCCCAAAGTTTAAAAGAAGAGACTTCCCTTTACTCCCCATTCTACTCATTCTCCCTTCAGAAGAAAACAGGAAACAACTGATGAAGATATACAAAGGCTGAGAGAAGAATGAATTATATGAGCTCCCTGGCTAATGAGAGTTTCACTCACTTGAGCTATCAGACCTTGTACCATGAGGGCCAAAGCCTTAGTGATTCTGGGAGTTCCTAAATCATAAACAGAGAAGACTCCTAAACCCATGGCTTCTTTCCAGTCTGTACCATGTAAGCCGCACTGCTGCCACACTGTGAATCTGAGCAGGACAATGAGGGAGAAACAGATCGGTAGTACTCTGGAGTGATCAGGGGGAAAACCCCAAGTCTGGTGGTTCTGCACACCTATCATTTATTCCTTCTGATGAACATACTTGAGCATCTGCTATGTGCTAGACACTGGGCTGACGTGTGGGAGATACAGCAATAAATGAAACAGACAAAAAAAATCTCTGGCCTCATTACATTCTTTTGGTTGTAGGGTAAAGGGGTTACTATGGGGAGAAAGATAGACCAAAACAAAAAACAAACAAACAAAACAAAACAAAACAAAAACTCAGAAGGTGGTAAGTATAATAAAAAAATAAAGTCTGTTGGGGGACACAGTGTACACAGGGTGTTCAGGGAGGGCCTGAGAGACTGACATTTGATTCGAACAACATGAAGGCTCTGTGGACAATGACTTAGGTCTACTTATTAGTTTTGAGGAACTTGCATTTAAAAAAAAATCTAAGTTTCTGTATCTGTAAAATGCAGTTATTTATACCATCTCCCTCACAGGGTTGTTACCAAAAGCACATAAAGTTCTGGATATCAAAAGTGCTTTCAAGGTCAATAAATCAAGTCAATGAGTTAATGAGAAACTACGTTACAGAGAGAAATACAGTGAGGGGCTCAGCAGGCCAGTCCTGAGCTCTCTGTTTAGGCTGAGGCCTACTATATAAAGATAGAATACTTATGTAAGAATACAGGGTACTTACTGGTTTCAATGTTTTCTAAAACTGTCAACATATAAAACCAGCTGAAGCAAGACGAGACACTGATATGACAATTTTAAGAATCACATAAAAATATAAGTATTTTTTTTTTTAAAGATTTTATTTATTTATTTGACAGAGATCACAAGTAGGCAGAGAGGCAGGCAGAGAATGAGAGAGGGAGGCAGTCTCCCCATGGAGCAGAGAGCCGGATGTGGGGCTTGATCCCAGGACTCTGGGATCATGACCTGAGCCGAAGGCAGAAGCTTAACCCACTGAGCCACCCAGGGGCCCCAAAATATAAGTACTTTTTAACTACCAAATATGCTGTATGGGCAGGACTTAATGTTCAGGGATAAAAATATTGGTGACAAAACTGAAAAAATTAAAGTGGTATTTACTTTTTTTAAGTTTATTTATTTTTTTTTAAAGTAATCTGTACGCCCAACGTGGGGCACGTACTTATAACTTGGAAATCAAGAGTTTGCAAGCTCTTCTGACTGAGCCAGCCAGGCACCCTGGTATTTACTTTTTTTTCCTCCCACCCCCTGGTATTTACTGTTAAAGGCTGGATGGAATCTGAGAGAGGGAAGAGGTATTACTGGAAGAAGACACATAGGGAGCTTCTGGGTAGCTAACAAAGGAGTCTATCTTGTAATAAGCTACACATTTGTTTAGTGCAGTTTTCTGTTTTATAACAAAAAAGAATGGTATTGCTGCCCCTTTTCCCTTATTGTTCATATTACTACTTATTGCAATTATTGGAAGAAACAGGAGGAGACTGAAATCAGTAATCACTTGTTTATAGCTTTGGTCAACAAACCCATTACCTCTGACCAACAAATAATGGATTAGCAAATCTGTATCAAAGGACAATTTGGTAACTCAACAAGGACTCTGTAGGGGTGGAAGCTAGGGGAAGTTTTACTTTTCATCATCTTGTAACAACAAGTAAGAGCTATGCCCACTAGCTACATTTGTAAAAATGATTCCTTTAAATCAAGAATATAAATAAAATTATGTAGAATGAAAAGCCTATGCCCCTGCAGAATTCTATCGTTTCACTTCCTCTACAGCACATTTGGAGATGGAATTCTCACCATATATTGTACAAACCTATCAGTGTGTACCACAGAATTTCACTGTGGATAACTAATTGCTTATCTGTGGAAAAGTGATTGGTAAATTCCCACAAGGATAGGATTAGTTAGTAAACTTACCTGTTTCTGAATCCGTCTCTGGTTCTGTCCACCTGTGGTTTGCCAAAACCAGGCTGGTAGAAGTTGGCTGCCTGCACTGCAAGGTCATGTGGCAGGGCCAGCCCCTCCAAAGCTGCCTGTTGCAATTCTAGCTGGCTCATCTGCTGAACAAGGCGGTAGAGGAAGATCAGCAGAAAAATGAGGATAGTCCATGCACTTTCTATGGAGGCTCTCTTCACTTTCAGAAAGGTATGTTTAAGCAGCAGCTGAAAGGGGGCACTGCAAACCTGACTAAATTGTGCTGCCATCCTCTGAACAGGACTTTATTTTTTTTTTTAAAGATTTATTTATTTATTTGATAGAGATCACAAGTAGGCAGAGAGGCAGGCAGAGAGAGGGGGAAGCAGGCTCCCCACTGAGCAGAGAGCCCAACGCGGGGCTTCATCCCAGGACCCTAAGATCATGACCTGAGCCGAAGGCAGAGGCTTAACCCACTGAGCCACCCAGGTGCCCCTGAACAGGATTTTAATGAAGTAGGACTTTAATTGTTCACCAATCTTCTAGCCTTTGCTGAGCTCAAATTGTCATTCAAAACCACTTCTAGGCATTGCAACGATTCTCCATCCCACAGTCAAGAATAAGGTTGAAAAGCAAGCAAGTAACTTAGAGAAAAAGCTCAGACAGACCTGGGCCGTGACGGGGCTCATGGGCTTGCGCATGCCTTGGAATGGATCTCCGAGTAGCTGCTGTGGTCCTGGTGTGAAACCTGATGGGAAAGTTGTGTACCAGTGTCAAGAGAGCACACATCCATGAGAGAAGTATCAGCATGACTGCACACGGCTGCTTGTTTAACGCCATCTCTTTCAAGCAAGTACTGACTCCTGGGCTGATCATGTCCCTGTTCTTCTGTGCCTCCACACTGGGCTATGTGGACCTAATCAGAGCACTTAATGACCCAAATTGCTGGTATATTCATCTACCCCACTAAGCTGTCAGCTTTGTCCCTTTCAGAGCTGAGACCTCTATCTGAGAAAGAAGTGCTTTTCTAGTCAGTGATTTGGCTCATTATCACTGAGCCAGCTGGTAAGTAGAGTCGAGTCCAGGGCTTTGAGGTTTATACTCTTTCTATTCTATCTAATTGGGGAAGAACAGGACAAAAACTTACTCTCAAGGTATGACTGGCAGCAGCCTGAAGTGGTCCAGGGTGACAGAACACTGAGATTTTGCACAACACTCATGTTAAGACAGCTTTTAGCCACAAGACCTCACAGTTGATTATGTACCAACTTCATTAAGTTGGTGGAGAGCCACTACCCTGACGTCTACTCTAACAAGGAAAAATCAAATTAACTTCTTTGAATTCGCAAAATAAGGAATAAGACTAAAAAGCTGGATCAAATTTATACAATTTTGATCAGTCTTAGGAGAAAGAACTATGAGTGTATTTATCTAGAAGGGCAGCCAGATAAATTATCTTCTAACTTTGTGCCTCACCATCCCCCCCAAAAAGCATAATAAATTCACTTATTTCTTTGTAAACTCTTCAGGGATGCCCATGAAAAAGACTTTGCAAGTTCTAGTGGACAAGTATAACCTTTGTGGGAGGCTGGGGGAGAATGGGCAGACATCTATGCACAAAGGATTTACCAATTGGTGATGGTATTCTAGGACGAAGGTAGTCTGCCGAGGCAGCTCGTGTCTGAAACACCTGTGACAAGGGAGGAGAGGGTGCTCTTTGCCCCAGTAAAGATGCTGTAGGCTCCAAACTCCCCATAAGGCCACTCAGAAGATTGGAAGAAGCAGGTCTCTGAACTGGCGGACCCAGAAGTTCCTAAGGGCAAAAAAAGTCATCCTTGTGAACAAACCTCGTTCTTCCTCCTAATCAGAGGCTGTGAATTATGGATTAACTTTTGGAAGCCAACGATGAATCTCCCTCATGCTCCACTGAAGGACTTGGCACATGTACATGCAACACATTTCTGTCACTGTGCAGCTAGCAACATTTGCTTTAAATTAGTGCACAAATATAGGTGAGATACTTCCAATTTCCATAGAAATTGCAAACCTGTAAGCTGGAAATCAAGGGCTTACTTTGTCATCTTCAACCACCTCCCCACCCCACAATGAGATTAAAAGCAACACAGAACTACGTCAGGTAGCAACACTGTATCCTCGATTGCCAGGCCCCACGGATCCTTCTCTAAGGCCCAAAGCTGGACCACTACACAAAACCGGTTCAAGGGACTAGTGTTCAGGACTCCGAGGCCTTGGTATAAGATGGTGAAGTACCTGCAGGATGTTCTTAGGGACAGGCTGGCCTGGAATCTCAGCAGGGGACATCAAATGGTTTTCAAGGTTTCGCTAAAAAAGTCAAAGGAAAACTGGTTTTAACCTTCTTACACACTTAACTCACACGTTCATTGGGGACCACAAGAAAGCATTAAAAACTCCCCAGGGAGTTGGCACTTAAGCGGAATGATATCTAAGGCACAGAAAACTAACTTAGATCCACTTGCTCAACTTGCTCATTACATGGTCCCAAAGATCTGGACATGGAAAGAATCTTCACATGTATATGCAAAGTCCACTCAGAGACTCTCAGATGGTGTTTCCTCCCTGTGGTAACCCTAGTGCATTTAACTGTTTCTAACACTGTGACCAAAATAAGGGAGAAAGAATATGGTGAAATACAGGAGCACTTTGTAAGAAGCCGTAATTTATAGATTTTAATTATCAAGGCAACCTTTGCTACCCATTATCTTTGAAACAAGATTTACAGATCACAGATCAGTAGTTTTAAAAAACCTAGTAAACAACAGGAAAGTTTGGCTGGAATTGTTATATTTCAGAGTTTCACATTTCAGGAAATTTTAACTTTATTTTTAAACAAGCTGTTCCAAAATGGCTCTCATATACAAGGCAAAATTCAGACCCTCCACTCTTTGTTCTTTCAGTGAAGCAGCAGTTATTCCTCCTGCACTTCAGGACATTCTTGTGCCCATTTAGCTTTGCCTGAAGTGCTTTCTCTGGTACAGCTTCCCTCTACTAGGTGAAGCTGCAGAGGTGGGACAAGAGCCCAAAGATAGCCCAGTCTTTTATTGTTGGTTTCGGAATTGGGACTGCTTTTTTTTTTTTTTTTTTTTTTAAAGAGGCTCTGTATCTAGCGTGGAGCCCAACTCCAGGCTTGAACTCAGGACTCTGAGATCAAGAGTCAGATGCTCAAACAACTGAGCCATCCAGGCGTCCCTAACTGTAGATGCTTTTAGTAAGAGATCTTGAGAGTCATTTAATTCCATCTAACAAAAATGGGCAACTTTACACTACACATGTGGCTTACTATATTTGGAAGACAGAGCCTCTATAATCAGTTTGAAATGGAGTTTAGATTGAAGCTAAAAGATGGCGGCAGATCAGAAGTAGTATACATCACACATACAGCCATAGTAACTGAAGACTTGATTTTGGAATAGACCATAACTTGACAACATGCAAATTAAGCAATATTTTGGGATAATATCTGGTGTGCTTATTACATTACTTTCCTTGTTGATTTCTTTCCTAGGTTAGTGTTACTTTTTGTGTAGCAACTTGAATTATATTATCCATCCCTTTACACAGGTGTCTGAGCCTCCCTCCCTTGTCCAGATATATTTCAGAGCTCCGAAACCTCAACATCAAACCAGTTACCTTCATACAACACAGGGTCAACTACATCAATATCAAGCCCTAGCCTCATATCTGAAACAAAATGTTCAAAACATCAGGTAAACTACTGAATCCCCCTGCTCCCACTTTTTACTCATTCACACTAAAAGAAACTACTTACAAGACTGAGTGCTTATACATAGCTTGGGTCCAATCACCAAGACCCAAATGAATAGGAAGAAAGGACAGTTTGCAATCTTTTAATCTAGTCCTCATTCGAAAAGATGTATATCTAATAATTCATTGTATGGAAATAACTCTTAAGTAATTTATTATGACAGCGGTTTAAGAGAAACATTCCCCTATAATTGGCATGGTGTGGTCAGATTCAAAGAAATAAGTCTGCCTGAGATGCCTCCTTTCAGAGGTAGAGTCAGTCCTGGCGATAAGGCCAGGAATAACGGCACCTCTGTTGGAATCTACTGCCAGCTTCTGGTCAGATAAAAAAACACCAGTTTCCTTCCCTTGGTACAAGGCACAGTGAATCATGAAAAACTACTGATATCATGACCAACTTGTAGTTCCCAGAAAAGATGATGTCAGGAGAAAACAAGAGGCAAAATTCAATTAAATAAATTTGCTGCAACTGAGCAACAAGAAGAAATCTGTTTATGTTTTTATTATTCAGGTTTGTCAGGCATCCTGTATCACCTTTATTATCAAGGGATAGCAATACTGACACAGAGGTCATGGCGGAGAGCCACCGCTAATGTGTTATGACAAAGACCAGTATGTGCTACGCACCTGCATTTACTGACCTACAGTCACGACACGCACAACCCAAATTCATGCCCCAAAATGTTTTTACGAGTCACAGCTTTTTCTATTTAGTAAGTTGACAGAATGCAATGGTCTTGAAAAATCCATCTTGGACGTTTTACAAATGATATGTACAACAGCCAACTGCCCAATCAAGAAAGCAGGTAATTCCAGGTATACAGGGGTGATTAAAATATGTGAAAAGAAAGACTCTACTATAAAAAAATGGTGAGTTATTTTCGCTTAAGTAGCTGAATAAACAAAAAACCTCTGGAGTGCATCCAAAAAATATTTTTTCCAACCCCCCCCTTTCTTTTTTAGCAGTCACTTAAAGTTATATCCAAATCTTTTAATCGTTACACTGTCACCCATAAAACATACAGATTAGCCACAAGCCTTCTTTTTCTAGTAACAAATAGCACAGTGATAATTAAAGAACACACAAAAGCATCAAGGACCAAATGACTATTAAAGAACTTCCAACTTACTCAGAATACCATTTTTAAAGTCCATTTATTATAGTGGGAAATGGAATAGAAAGGGAAAAGGAGAAAAGGCTGGGGATTGTGCCAAATACTTACGCTAACTTTGGGCTGAGAAGGCAAAGTCCCACTTGCCTTCATGGTGCTCACTAGTTTGTTGAATGCGGTCATATCTCCATCTTTCTTGAGCTGTCGATTACTGGTTACAGCATTCAGGGTCTCCTCTAAGTGTTCTGCCATGAAGGGAGTCGAATTCTTCACTGGCTGGTCAACCTTCAAGCCCTTGAGCCCCGCTTCTACCTCTTCCACTGACAGCACAACTCCTGAATGCGCTGAAAGATTCAGAAAATCCAGATCAAGCCAAGCCAGGGTATATGTGTTGGGAATGCTCTTTGGCAACCATGATGGTCAATGTGAAAATAATTTATTTCACAGTTGAACTGAGGTCAGAAAAGGTTGATACCAAAACCAAACAAACTGAAGACTCTTAAAATCATGGTTGCTCAGTGGAAGTAAGGCCATAATTATGTACTTAGGAAGAGGGCATAAAACTAAGGTCTATGTTGAGGGTGCATAACCTAAACAAGAACATGGCAGACTGAGGCAAAGGTGTGAGAAGCTGCCAACGTATCCCCAGGAGGACTACAGCATTAACTGGAGTATAATGATCAAGCTCCAGGTAAGGAGGAGGACTTGGAGGAAAAGCCCATGAACCACCAACTAATAGCTTCTCAAGGAGGTGGTACTGTTTGATAAAAATTTTTGAAATACGTTAAATAAAAACCACTCGCTATTTGACTTTTGATGAAACAGCAGTATGTTAGAACCAACTGCCCTAAGACTGAAATCCACACTTTTTCAATGCATAAAGGAGACTCTAATAAACACTTACAGCTCTCCTTGAGCTTTTCTTTATTTGCAGAAAGACTGGAAAGAAGAGGTTTTAAATCCACTTTGGCTTTCTGTAGCATTTCTAAAATATCCACTTTATTTTCAGCATGGTCTTCCAGTGGGATAGGAGCAAAATAATTCCCCGAGTTTTGCCCAGGAGAGAGGATGGCTTGTTCCAGACCTAATATTGCAAGTAAATATATTCATTAATTAACTGGTCCCAATAAAGCACAGAAACAGATCTTCAACAGTTATTAAAAGGGCACAAATTGAAGTTTTTTTTGTTTTGTTTTGTTTTGTTTTTTTTAAGTACCCAGAGACTCTTTAACCCTACTGTACCCTAACGAAGACAGAATGAACCATGTCAGAGAAGGCTCAAAACCACATTCAAAGTCAGAATCTGAAGCCATTTTACCTGCTAGTCTCTCCAGTTCTTCATGTGGTGTTGACCCAAGACTGCTGGATCGGCTTCCTGACCGGCTTGGGTTAGAGAACCACCTACTGAACCTACTGGCGGAAACTGACCCTTCTCCCAAAACATCTTCTATCATCTAAAAAGAAAGACAAGGAGCTAAAATAATGGTTTCTAGGTGAAAAGAACAACAAGGTTCAAATTTTTAGAAAAGTTCACTTACTTTGAAACTTCCTTTGATGCTGCTGACCTGAAGGTAAATACCCTCAGAATTTATGATTTTCAACATCTTTAATTTTTCTTCCCCTCCAGAGTCATCTCTGAGTAACCCAAAGGTAGGCATTACTGACCATGTACTTTCTGATCATACAATGAAAAACCTCTGTGTCACAGAATATGTTTTCTATCCTTTGCCTCTGTAGAAAATTCATGATCTACTTAATAATCTCAGAGGACACAGTTTCAAAATCAAAATCAGCACCACAGTAAAGCATTCCATTGCCAAGCTGCTGGGTGCCCTTCAACTAAATATCAAGTATGGAGAGATGATGAAAGAAAGCCCTTGCTTCAAACTCCCAACTTTTTGTTTCTTTTATGAAGATCATAAAATTCAATGGTCATAATTTCAGAAGCTAAGAAGTAGAGCTTGTAGAGATCATAATTCCAGTCCAAGTTTACAAAGTGTCAGAAAGTAAAAGATGAACTTTTAATGGATCTCTAGTATGTTTGAACTTAATAGGGAGTTTGCAGGTTTTGTTTTCTTTGAAATTCAGCCGCAGTAGTTTTCAGTTAACAAGAATAATTGATGTGCTACAATCAGATATAATTTCTCAACACTGTTTCGTAACAGTAATTTCCATTATCAATCCTTAAAAACTAGATTGACACATTAAAAAAAATTTAATTCTATTCTATCCTAAGTCCAGTTAAATATCCAAACTGGTTTTTATGCAGTGTTTTTACCCATATTTAGAAAAGACAAGGTAAAGCAAATGTCAATCCAAAAAATGAGGCACATCTTGAAAGGCATAAACTTTCATTTCTATACCAATGATAAAGCAAAAACAGGTTTTCCCCCAAACTAGCATGAGGATGGCAAAGCAGGACACTGTTTTATCTAAAGACAGGAACCCACCATTTCCAGTCAAAATTCAGTGACAACAGGTTAGATTTCTTATTTTATTCTCATCTAGAAGAATCTTCTCATAATGTACCCAAACTAAGCCATGAAATACTTCTCTTGAGCACAAGAATGAGAGATTTTAATTCATGATGCTAAGTTATTATTTGTGGTACTTCTGTTTTCTGGAGTATTATTCAGTTTCAATCACTCACTTGTAGACCAGCGGACTTTGCCATAATTAGAATAGAAGAGAAGCATGTAAGAAGTAAATGTTTCATTGTAGAAAATTGAGAATTGTACCTCAAATATAAAGGATATAATATAAGGGATAAAATATAAGGTATATCCTTAGGGATAAATAGGAATTATTTTAAAACTAAAAGCTATAGCCATTAAAAAGGTTTTAATGTTGAAAAGAATGTGAAATTTTACAAGTAGCCAAAAATCTCTTCGCATTTTAATCCTCTTATTTCCTCTGATCATAGTGTATCCGAAAATAGAAGATACACAAGAGCAACATGAAAAAGCAAAGGACATGAATATAAAGTATCTGGACATCTTTTAAAGCCATGACAGTAAGAAACTCATTTCCATATTTTGATCAGTGACCAACTTTCTGTTAGAGCTGTTTTATTACAGCTACAACATAAAAAGTAGAAAAAAAGTTACTCTTACACAAATTTACTAGAAATGTCAATTTCAAGAAACTAAAGTATTTTAAGCCCAAAAGGAATCCTAAGAGGATTTATCTAGTCAGTCATTTTTACCACACAGCAAGCAGGGACGATCTAACAGCAGTGAGATTTCCTGAACCTTGGTACAGGAAATGGAGAGGTGGTACAGGCTGCTCTAACTTCTTGGTCAAGACATCCTCTGCTACCTTCTTGTCAGTCATCAGCTGGTCAAGATTAGCCTATGGACTGTAATCTGGCATGTTTAAACTGTTACTCCTGCATTTTTAACAACATTTAAAAAAAAGATTTAATTTATTTATTTGACAGAGACAGACAGAGCAAGAGAGGAAACACAAGCAGGGGGAGTGGGGGAGGGAGAAGCAGGTTTTCCACAGAGCAAGGAGCCCGACGTTAGGCTTGATCCCAGGACCCTTGGGATCACAACCCAAGCTGAAGGTAAGTGTTTAACGACTGAGCCACCCAGGCGCCCCTTTTAATAACATTTTAAGGTAACTTATGACTGTTAGTCTGGCTCTTCAAACAAGGTCATTTAGACAAGTCATATCTTAAGATTCATATTATTCTGATTATCAGACACTGTAAAATATTTTCTCTTTATAAAAAATATTTTCTCTTTGACAATTACTAGGTTCTACTGATCAATGCTCTTCTTCTAGTACTTTCCACTTTTATGGAAATTTCTATCATTTTGAATTTTTTCACTCCAGTATGATTTTTGGGATTTGTAACAAAGATATACATTTTCTTCTGAGTACACTTTTGATTATAACACTAAGGTTCTTCTATGTCATGGTCCTTGTTCATCACTCTAGAGAGTTTACTATTTCTACTCCGAATTCCTTTTTCTTCATTCAACATAAGTAAGCACCTATTATGTGTCATGCGCTGTAGTAAGACTTCTATCATATCTAAAATAAACTTATTTTTAATTATTTAACTGAAATTACTTGCACATGTGATCCAAATTTTCAGTTTGAGTAGATTTTTTCATGACTTTCAATTTCCAATGTGTTGTAATGGCAGTAAATATAGCCTACAAATATAGGTATAATTCTGTTTTTATCTATTAATACTTAACACTGGTGGAGCTTACTGAGTGCCATGTACTATTTCAAGCACTTTTTTATAACATTTCTCAGTTGACACTCAAATCCTACATAGTTCTTATTTTTCCTAATTGGTCATTTATTGAGCATAATATTAGAATTACATGGCACAATCAGGGCATTTGTTTTTAACTGATCCCAGTTTTGTTTTTAAGTAAACATATTATATACACCTTAATGAGCAGGACCTTTATGAAAAACATGGAGAACTCCTAGCCTAGTAGCAACTACTGCTCAGCTTTAGCCAAATTTTGATTGAGGGTGAGGGCCGAAAGATAAGATATCGTGAAGCTCCCACAGTGCCTTTTATGCTTCAGAGGCAGTATAGTTGTGGGGCATTAAAAACAAAGACCCTTAACTGAAACTGCTAGGAGTCAAAGTTCCGTGTCTACCACTTACTGGATGTGTGACTTTGGGCAAGTTACTTCAGCCTCTGTGCTTGTTTCCTCATCTGTAAAATGGAAATAGTAGTAATCTAATTTACAAGGGTTTATGAGCATTAGATGATTTACTATATGTGAAGGCTAAAACAATCAGCACTCTAATGAATGTTACCTGTAAGTAAAAGTTTAGTTTTGAACTCTTCTGTGCAAGCGCATGGGTTAAGTTTCATAGGTATTCACATTTGGAGTCAAGAATAGGCCTATAAATTTTGACCTTTTGTGGTGAAAACTTTTACAGTAAGATTTCCACCTAAGGGGGGAAAGAAAAAGCGACTAATGTCCCCTTAAAAGCTAAGAATTTTCCACCAAGGAAATTAAGCTCCTGTCTGAATGCCACGCTTCTGCTCAGTGAGCCGAAGGACTACTGCCGACTAGCTGATTGGAAGCGAGGTGTCTGACTGGAGACTTACAGCTACAACTGCTGCTAGAACTTAAGGAACAGAACCAGCCACACAGTTGCCAGTTGATTTAGAGCCACACTCCACAAGCTCCCGAAGGGCGCTCTAGACAAGTGTGCTCTTGGACCACATGGAGAGAAGTTCAGAAAGTCAAAGTAAATGTTTAGATACTTTTATAGCAATAGAGCACTGCTGTGACTTTTGTACTTTATACGAAAGCATGGTCCTCATGGACTGGAAATACAACTTGACCCCCATCATGGAGAACTTCAGAAGTGCTGCTCTAGAACTCACCTGCAACCCTGTACCTATCAGTGCTATGCAGTGTCTGCTTGCCTACTCTGGGTGGCCATCTTCTGGTGACAGGGGCTGCACATGACAAAGGTTCTCCTTTGTCACGCACAGTTCTCTCTACTCATGCAATAATCAAGCAAGGAGCCGCTACAGTTACGAAGTAGAGTCATTTAAATTCCATGAACCACCAATTTTAAAGGACAGGTTGAATGTATTTGCTGTATTTGGTGCTATAAATGAGATGTCTAGATCATACAGATGCTTTTGGGCAAATGTGGGTTTTGGTTTTAAGAGAGAGAGAGGTCGGGGAGGGGCAGAGGGTGAGAGAATCTTAAGCATGTTCCATGCCCAGCATGAAGCCCGATTCAGGGCTCAATCTCACAACCCTGAGATCATGACCTGAGCCAAAATCAAGAGTCAGATGCTTAACCAACGGAGCCACCAGGTACTCCAAATGTTTTTTAGGATTCTGTTTCATCATGGAGTGCCTTGGTGGCTCCACTAGTTAAGCATCCGCCTTCAGCTCAGGTCATGATCCCAGTGTCCTGGGATGGAGCCCTGTATCGGGCTCCCTGCTCAGCGGAGAGTCTGCTTTTTCCCTTTCTCTCTCCGTCTGCCCCTCCCCCTCCTTGTGCTTACTCTAGCTCTCTCTCAAACAAAATCTTTTTTTTTTTTTTTTAATACTTTATTTCTTTGAGAAAGCTAGTGAGAGACAGCATGAGCAGGAAGGAGGGGGAGAAGCAGAATCCCCATCAAGCAGGGAGCCCGATGTGGAGCTTGATCCCAGGACACTGGGATCACGACCAGAACTGAAGGCAGACACCTACCAACTGAACCATCCAGGCACCCCTCAAATAAAATTTTTTAAAAAATTGTTTCATCGTGATTCTATGCACTCTTTCAATAACCACAGAAGAAACTCGTTTCTGTGTGCACAGGTCCGAGTTCTATCTTTTATCCAACTTGTGAAGCTACAGTAATCCCTGAAGGACCAAAGACGACAGGAGCAAGGGCTGGTAGCAAGTGAAGATTTGGGATGTCTTACTGCTTCTACTTTGAAAATCAAGAAAGACTGGACCTCAACAGTTTAACAGCAACACTGATAATATTTCAAGGTGCTTTTCACCAGGTTTTCAGAACCATCACACCACAAAGTTACCAACTAACTAGTCAACCTTATGCAAGGATACACATCAGCATGATGCTAATCACCAGTTATAAAAATCTACCTCCACAGCAAGTCTATAACGAACACTTAACTATTTAAAAATAAAAGCAGACAATGTTCTTAACATCTGAAGAATTCTTAGTCTAATGCTGCCAGCCTAGAAAAAGAGGGTAACTGGTACAGAATTCTCACTTGGTCATTTCCACTAGGCCTCTCAAAACAAAGCCATGAAAACTCAAATAATATTTACGAATAAAAGCCTAAATCCCCCAAACATCTAGCAAAACAATACTTTAAAAAGAGTATCCTAAATATTCAGGTCAAATTTAACCATACAGTTGCTCCATCTCGTTTATAAGTGTGCTGCTGCACTCACCGAAGCCAAGCCTGGCACCTTATCAAGGTTAAAGAACTCATTAAAGTCAAATTCTCCTGGGGACTGCTCAGGCAAGACGGCGTCCCTTGGCACTTCCTGATCAGCAGCAGGCTCCTGTGCGAGGATGACCTCCACCTCATCCTCTTCGGCCACTCCTCCATTGCATTCGACTATGCCTGAAAGCAAAACCAGGACAAAAAATGATCTGATCAAGTGAACCGCTCTAGGCTTAATCTGTGGCCTCAGCCATCAGCACACGTGCAAAAGAGCCACAGATAACTTTAAAGGCAAATCTCGTGTGCTGAGACAGCATCTGCAACAGTAAAACCATTCCTTTCCTATGGGAGCTAGGGAAGAAAAAAGCCTTACTCACAAGCCAGAACACCAACACAATGCAGGAAGGATGATGGTCACTCCGCCACCCATTCTTCAGGTTTTTTTTTTTAAGGATACTTTTTGCAAGTCTCTTACTGCTTAAAAATGGAACCACATTAATTTGGCTCTGCCTTCATCCAGGTATCTGCACCATCACTTTAAGTCAGAGTTTGGCAATCTAAGATGTTCCTGTGAACCTAGCGTGAGGGCAATTTTCACATGCCTACAGGTTGGCTGTAACTCATCCTTCAAGGTGAAGCTCAAATGTTATCTCTTCTGGGAAGCCTGACCTGCCTACCCATTTTTACCATGCCCAGAAACATCAATCACTGCCTTCTCTGTAACCCTTGTGTTGTCTCTCAGAGTACTTATCACACCGTCTAGTGAGATAATTGTCTAGGGAGACTGAGCTCTCTGAAGAGAGGTAACCTGCTTTACTCAGTTCTGTCTTACTCTGTGGTGCCAGGTAAATTTAAAACTAAGTATTGTTCAGCTGTTGTTAGGGTGTGAAGGCAGGATCTAAGTGAAGCTACCAAGTGTTAACATTTAAGGAATCTAATACCTTCGAAAAGGCAAAATCCTTAGGAGAAAAAATTTTTTTTTCTTTTAAGTAAGTAAGTAAGACATTCAACTTTTTTATCTGAAGAACAGGACACCCAAAGGCCTAGCCTGCAAAATCACCTAGTAAGAGCTGCTTATAGTTTCAAGATCTATGGCAGACAGAAGTCCTCCTGGGGGTGGGGGGTGGGGGGTGGGGGGGGAAGAAGCCACCTCCTGGGCCCATCCCTTCTTAAAAGTCCCCAATAGTTACTTCAGTCTCGTTATTAATCAGACCAAGAGACACTAAACGCGATCAGCTGCTTTCATTCTAGTAATGCTTCAGAAGCTAGCCAGCAAAGCAGGGAACTCCAACTGAAGGATTAAGTGGTTTCCTGACCCAAAGTCTCAATCCCAGCCAAGTGGCAGAAGCTTCAACCTAAGATGGCCACCAATGCTGTTCCACACCAAGCCGTGTGTATCAAGGTGGCACCGCTCCTCCATAGGGGTGACTACCACAGGACTACCCCGAGCTCTCAGAGGGCCTAGAGCAATCAGTGAGACAGAAAGTTAGTGAGCCATGGGCAAGGCAATCAGCAGTCTCTCCAGTGGGTTGACACATACTTCCTGCCAAACAGAAGCAAATACTGTTCCTCCCAGACTGACATTTAAACTAAAATGACTGCTTTGGTAGAGGTATTGCCCTCACTCTACAAAGAAAGGGAGCCCTAGAAAAATGACCAACTCAACAGCCTAATCAATGCACAGACTAGAGCAGTGCTTCTCCCTGACCCATTTTACCCAGCAGAACCTGCCTGCCCCTCAGGACTGACCAGTGACATTTTGCTGCAGTTTTGGCTCCCAACTTAAGGATGAAAAGTAGAAACAAGAGTCTGTACTTGGCTCATACATTAACAAAAGAAACTTTAATACTTCTCCTACCCCTTTTATTTTGTGTCAATATGGCAATATCTCTTAACAGATAAATAGCTTTTGCAGGCAGCAGGAGTGTCTCATGCAATTTTATGCCATTGTCAAGCTCTCTTGAAAGCAGATGGGGTCAACTGAGAGTGGGTATGAGTGGGCAGAAATGTGCACCAGCAGACAAACACAACTGGCCATTTATTATGACAGACTCAAAAGGTAAAGACTTCGGAAAGAGAACTAGGGGGATGTTTTATCACATTCAGAAGGACCATATACCTTCATTAGAGAGGGTGCAATTTAAATTTTTTTTTTTTTTTTTTTTTTTTTTTTTTTTTTGAGAGAGAGCACATGTGAGCTATGCAGGGAAGGGCAGAGGAAGAAAGAGAATCTTAAGCAGGCTCCATGCCCCAGCATGGAGCCCAAAACGGGGTTCGATCTCACAACCCTGAGATCATGCCTAAGCCAAAACCAAGAGTTGGATGCTAAACTGACTGAGCCACTCAGCCACTCCTAAAATGTTCTTTTCTATCAATGGAGGGTTTTGTCCATCTCTAACTTCTACATTTTTTTCAGGTTACAGGTGTAATGCATATTCAAACTGTTCCAATTATTACCATTTACATATCACTTAGGACTGGGCCCTGTTTAGAACAACTGCTCATTACACATCAGTCTTAAAATCAAACAGGCAAGGAATAGACTTGTCTTGCTCACTGCTACATTCCCAGCACTATGAGGCCTGCAGAGAAGAGCTATATAAAATAATTCTGTGGAGGGATGCCTGGGTGGCTCAGCACGTTAAGCATCGACTCTGATTTTCGCTCAGGTCACAATCTTGGGGTTGTGACACTGAGACCTGAGTCAGGTTCCGTGTTCAGTGGGGACCCTGCCTGAGTTTCTGTCTCTTACTCTGCCCCTCACCACCCTCCCCCAACTCTCTCTAAACAAACAAAAAATCATGGAAAGCTAGAGTACAGATATAAACATGGACTAAAAGGTACTCACCATCCCTCCCCTCCTTTCATTCTTGCAGCCAAGATGAAATTACGGGGTACCTGTTGATCCTAAATACAGTAGCTAGGACGGCCTAGGGACCTTCAGCAATTAACTTTTGTTTGTTTGTTTGTTTAAGATTTTATTTATTTGAGAGAGAGAGATCGAGCAAGAGAGGAAGCACAAACAGAGGGAATGGGAGAGGGAGAGGCAGGCTTCCCACTGAGCCTGGAGCCAAACTCGGGGCTCAATCTCACATCCCCAAGATCATGACCTGAGCCAAAGGCAGACATTTAATGACTGAGCCACCCAGGCATCCCTGAAATTAACTACTGGGATGAGTGAGCTAGGACCCCTGGATTCCACTCAAGGGGCTGCCATGAAATCCATGTGACAGGGTCTTGGGTTGTTCTTTCTTTCCAGACCTGTCTCTCTTTGTATTTTTAAGGTAAGGAGGTGACACTCACTCCATCTGGCTCATACATTTGTTGACACAAGAACGGGTAAAATTCAGATTGTACCAGTTAAGAAAAACACGTGTTTTTCACCAGAAGCCTTATCTTTATCTTATGTAAAAAGACCACACTTGGCTTTAGTGTGAGAATGACACAAGGGCATGTCTCAAAGACTATTTTAGAGCAACGTCTCCCAAGTTACCCATCAATTTCCTGCACCGCCCCAGGGAACAATGTGTAACAGCATAAAAATAATGATAATGTCTATTGTATTTAAAAGATATTACAAAAAAAGGGCAAGTGATTTCTCTCTACTTTCCCCTAAATAAATTCCACTAGCTTATTTTTTGTTGAGATTTATCTTAGCCTCAAAATATTAAGATGCCATTGATTAAACACGTATTAAGACAGATTTCTACTTTTGTTAACTAGTACCTGCCAAAAGGTGTTTTTCAATTAAACCTGAAAGCTGAAGAGAACTAGAACTTATTCAAGAAGTGCCCACAAGAGGCTGAGCTCTGATTTCCTCTGATTACACATCTGTTCTTTAATGCTAAAAGTAACACTTAAAGTTACGGAGTAAGCAGTGTCTTCACCTTATAAAGAAACAGACCCACCTCAAGAGTTTTATCAAAGATTATCCCTTCGTAAACAGCAGCCCCAATACTTAAACCCAGGCTAGCCTGCCTGGCTCTTCACCACCAATTCTCAGGATCATCAGCCCAGGACTGGCCATCTTGGAGCCAGGCTACTGCCCTGAAAATAACTAATGAACCCCCAACCCTACACCAGGCAATCTCACATTAGCTCTGGCTTCTTCAGTTTAGCAAAGGAGATACCTCACCTCATCTCACAGCTGAGTCTGGGAGAAGCTAAGTCATAAACAACTCCTGTAGGAAGGTCTAACCATGGTGACGAAGGTGGGCTCTGAAGCACAAAAGGACTTGTTCAACTCCCAACTTCACTACTTACTTCGTCAGTGTCCACAGAGAAGTCCCTCAGCCTCCTGCTCTCCATTCACTCATCCATAAAAGCCCCGACCTCATAGGGCTGTTAGAAGTGGGATTATACACACAAAATGCTTACCACTATGCAGAGTGCTCAAAAAGAAGACTCCTTCACTATTTCTACTATGTTTCTTATCTCTAGGGAACCCTTTTGTGTACACAGTGCTCCTACAGGGTAATGTGAGACTTCTGCTTAGCTCCGCGGGCAGAACAAGTTGAGGATAGAGTATGATATACACCTAGGAATTCACACTGAGGAAGCAGTTTCAAAATCTGGCTGCAATGTTAGAAACTTGCAACTGGTACATCTCATATTAGAACAGTTAGCTTCCCTCTCAAAGTCTTTGCTTACCTTCCTTCATGGAGGCTGTCCGTCGCCTCGTTCTTTTTCTCCCCTTGTGATCTTCTTCTAGTATCTTATCATCAAAGCCAGTCAGCTCAATGGTCTCAGACTGACTTGTGGGTCCAGCTGAGAACCATTCTGGTTCTTCTTCTGTGTAGGAATCATTTCTTCTTCGCTCACCAAAGACGCGCTTACTATCCCCAAACTCCCTCTGGAAAAATACACAATGCAAGATAAAAAAATAAGGTTCTAGTTAAGGCATTTCTACCTCAGTTAAGGTCCTGATGAATTAAGTAGTGCTCAACACAATGAAGATATGATGCTGCAGACTTGAAGTCCCTCCCCGCCCCCCAGCACACACTCTGCTCTTCTCTATCTGAAGAATGGGCTATGTTCATCCAGCATCTCAAAATAACCTGGTATAAATGAAGAGCATATCATGTCCCTAAGTACACGAAGGGCCAAAGGATCTAGAAGACAAACCCTAAATCGCTTGTCCTTATAGTCCCTCTCTCGATCTCGGTCTCTCAAGTCCCGCAGGTCCTTATCACTAAGGCGGTGATCCTTCTCAAAGGTCCGAGCAGATATTATCCTCCCACTGCCAATCCTCCGTCCGCCAAGCAGGCGAAGCCCATCACTGTCTTTTTCCAGTGGGCTTCCTGAGTGCCGGGAACTAACAGCAGCCGTCACGTGGCAGCCCCCTCCAAAGCTTCGTCTCTGTGGGCTGAGAACAACATCTAAGTCATCTTCTTTCACACGCTCCCGTGGATCTGGAAAGACGCCAGAAAAAGAAAGGTTAGCAAACCGGCAGGATATTCTTCCTTTCTCAGTGGTTATGTCCACAACTAGTGGTGGTGAGGGTATTGAAAAAAAGAGTCACGGGACGCCTGAGTGGCTCAGCTGGTTAAGTGGCTGCCTTCAGCTCAGGTCATGATCTTGGGGTCCTGGGATTGAGTCCTGCATCGGGCTCCTTGCTCAACAGAGAGCCTGCTCTCCCTCTGCCTGCTATGTCTGCTGCTCCCCTTGCTTGTGCTCTGACAAATACATAAAATCTTAAAAAAAAAAAAAAAAAAAGGGAAGAGTCACCACTGAAACAGCTACAGAGTGACATGAACATTACATATTTAAATAAGACTGACTCTTTTGCTCTTTCTCCTTGGAGCAATAAATGTATTTCATAATCAACGATTTTCCATGATCAGTCTCCATAACCCCTTATTATTTTTTTTAAGATTTTTATTTATTTGACAGAGAGATGATGAGAGAGGAACAGAATCGGGGGAGTGGGAGAGGGAGAAGCAGGCTTCCTGCCATGCGGGGAGGCTGATGCGGGACTCGATCCCAGGACCCTGGGATCATGACCTGAGCCAGAGGCAGACGCCTAACTGTGCTGCAAAACAGGTTGGCAGTTTCTCAAAATGTGGAACATACATTTACTATAGGACTCAGCCATTCTACTCTTAGGTATTTACTCAAGAGAAAAGAAAGCGTATGCCTATATAGAAACTTGTACCTGAATATTCACAGTAGTTTTACTTAATAGTCAGAAACTAGAAACAACCCAAATGTCCATCAACAGATAAATGGATAAACTGTGGCAAATTCATTCAATGGACTACTAATAGGCAATAAAAAGGGACTATTTATACACGCAACATCACGACTGAATCTTAAAACTATTCAAAGTGAGAGAAGCTACCCAAAGAGTGCACACTATAAGATTCCATTTATACTGAATTCTAGAAAATGTAAACTAATCTGTAGTGACAGAAAACAAATCAGTGCTTGGTGGGGGGTGGTGGGGGGAATGGGAGAGTATGAGGAAGGACTCAGAGGTACCAGGAACTTTGGGGGGTAATGGAAATGCTTGTTACTTTGACCATGGTAATGGGTTCACAGGTGTATACACCTGCCAAAACATCAAATGGTACACTTTACGTGCAGTCTATTCTTTGTCAATTATATCTCGATAAAGAGCTGAGGAAACCAAACATGTCACCACACAAAAATTCTTCCTAGAAAAACCAGAAAACTGAAGTCCAAGTGAGAAAAAGTTCCTTTAATCTTCTCACCAGGAACAGTACCTAAAACGTATGTACTTTTCCAGAATTTCCATGGGGTGTCTCCATGTTTTCTAAAAACAAGACATAGTATAGACAAGTTTCCAATTTACAGCTGAACAATTTAATACTCCTACCTATAGACGTACCAAAGTTTATGTGACCCATTTCTACCCCTGGACATTTAGGCTGCTTACTAGTTTTTGTCATTTAATACAGTTTCTGTGTAATCTTTAATGATTCTCCTAAAATAAATTTTCTGTTCGAGGGACATTACTGCACTAAGTGTACTGTAAGCTGTGTAGAGGGATCTCATATCTCAAACTAGAGTCACCCCTATCTTCTTTGCCAAGTGCCAAATTTGTTTTATGATGGGTTTTCACTTATCTCAAAAGAAGTCCCTCTTGCAACAAGTTCCTTGACTAGCTTCTCCACTGCCAGCTCTCTACTTCACTCCTCAATCTCTTATTGCATTTAAAGAGTAAAGGTATAGAGAACCAAAAGCCAAACTATATCCAAACCCTGGATTCAGACCATAATCCACTATTAAGAATTGCCAGAACCAATTTATACCTGAGGACTACTTTCATATAGCAGACTAAGTATAAGTGGATTTCCAGCACTGTTTTATGCTCACTACCATTCTGCCCATCACATCTCACTCAGTTATGCCGAATGATGAAGGGCAGCAGTACTTTTAATTCCAAAAGCACACAGTCTAATGCAGCTACTTGCCACTGCTATATAGGAAAGCTGATTTTTCTCTGCTAATCAGATAAGCCCAGTTAATAAATCAGCTTCCTGAAAATGACATTTTTCCCTGAATGCATAAAACTCTCAGCTAAGAAACCAGCAGCAAACAAATTTGTTGCTCCAAAATCGGTGCCCTGGCTTCTACCCACTCACCTACTATCCTGCGCACAAGGGAAGGCCGGTCTGGATCCAACTCTTTCTTCAGACTTTCCACTGGTGAATTCCGCCCTGAAGCTGGATAGAGAGAGGCATGCCACTTTTCTGGGTCCCAAACGCCATCACTACGAGTCAAAGGGTACACACAGTTAGCACTTGAACCTGCGGACCACATATGTGGTCTAAATTCTAAATTTCTTCAGGTGGTAAGTTATGAAAACCCCTTTCCAATATAAAACTCCATGGTTGGGGGCGCCTGGGTGGCTCAGTGGGTTAGGCCGCTGCCTTCGGCTCAGGTCATGATCTCAGGGTCCTGGGATCGAGCCCCGCATCGGGCTCTCTGCTCAGCAGGGAGCCTGCTTCCCCCCACTCTCTCTCTGCCTGCCTCTCTGCCTGCTTGTGATCTCTGTCTGTCAAATAAATAAATAAAATCTTTAAAAAAAAAAAAACAAAAAAACTCCATGGTTGCCATCAGAATGGTTAGCTCTTTTAACGGGTGGTCCCTGACTTACTATGGTTCAACTCAAGAGGGTTCTACTTGGTGGCAGTGCATATTTAATAGAAACTGTGCTTCAAACTGTAGAAGTCTGATCATTGCCCAGGCTAGCTATGTGTGACATAATGACCTCCTGAGATGCTGTGCAGCGGCAGTGAGCACAGCCACAGCTCCCGGTCGGCCAGTGTGAACACAAGCATAAACCACACCATTCTGTGTTTTACTTTCAATACAGCATTCAATAGGTTATAAGATATTCAATACTATATTATATAATAGGCTTCGTGGTAGCTGATTTTGCCCAACTATAGGCGAGTAGAAGTGTTCTGAACACTTTAACATAGCTAGGCTAAGCTAAGATGTTCAGCAGGCCAGATGTTTTATATGCATTTTCGACTAACAGTATTTTCAACTTACGATGGGTTTATTGGAACATACCCCACTGTACACTCAGGAAGATCTGTATTAATTCAGTAATATTTTGTTGTCTTTGTTTTTGTTTTTCATAGAGCACCAACAGTCACTTGAAAACCAGTGGTCTGGGGCACCTGGGAGGCTCAGTGGGTTAAAGCCTCTGCCTTCAGCTCAGGTCATGATCCCAGGGTCCTGGGATTGAGCCCTGCATTGGGCTCTCTGCTCAGCTGGGAGCCTGTGTCCCCCTCTCTATCTGCCTGCCTCATTGCCTACTTGTGATCTCTGTCAAATAAATAAATAAAATCTTAAAAAAAAAAAAAAAAGGAAACCAGTGGTCTGTTATAAATGAAACATCAGACACACACCTTGTGGTGCATGGGGATTACAGTAACCATGCTGTCCTACACAAAGAAGATGCTCCATAAATACTTAAGTTTACTGAAGGAGTAAAACACCCATTTGACTGAAGATCAGTATATGGCAGAGAAAAAGCTCTCACTTGAAGTAGTTCTTGGAATGCCTGGTATGTACTTTTCTAGAATTTTGATGCATACTGTTTCAGTTTTTCTCCACAGGCAGGACAGAAAGCTCTTAAGAACATAAAATGTGTGATCTGGGTTCTAGTTTGATACTCCCTCTCTATTGATAAGGTGGTAGAGTGTGCAGAGCAGGAGCTCTAGAGTCCAACGATCTGGGACAGAATTCTAGTTTTGCCATTACCACTAGGGACATCCTGGGTAAGTTAATAAGCTATGCCCTTTACTCTTCTTTTGAAAGGACTTCCCAACCCCTAGATCAGACCAGACTGTGCTAAACACGAGTAGCAGGGTACTCTGCACTTGTCCTTTACTGCCTGTAATGGTGGCAATGATAAACTCCAGAGTACCTCACTGTATCCTTCCACTGACCAATGCTCCATTAAGGCAGTATCTGATAGCACCTGACATAGAATTTGCCACACAGCAGCAGGTACCAACTAAGCATTTCTTGAATAAGTGAGTCAACCTGTCAATCTCAAACTCCTCACACTAAAGAAGATATTACCTATCTTCTGGTGTTGTTGTGAGGATTACCTGGAATTTAAGAATCAAATAAGTTTTAATTCTGAGAAGAGAAATACCAGGATGGGAAGGTCTTTTCTCTTTCTCTTTATTTTTATTATTATTATTAGCACATTTCCAGGTCAGAATAAAAGTATGTGTACCCTCATAATTTTATGCCAAGAACAGTTGTTTTTTTTTTTTTTTTTTTTAAGATTTTATTTCTTTATTTGACAGAGAGAGAGATCACAAGTAGGTAGAGCAGCAGGCAGAGAGAGAGGGAAGCAGGGTTCCCACTGAGCAGAGAGCCCAATACAGGGCTTGATCCCAGGACCTTGGGATCATGACCTGAGCCAAAGGCAGAGGCTTAACCCACTGAGCCACCCAGGTGCCCCATACCAAGAATAGTTTTAACAAGAAAATTCAACTTGAGGCATAAAAAAGATTGACAGCTTTAATGAAAAACAAAAAACAGCTTATCTGAGACCTATTAAAAAAATCCTAACCAACTAGAACAGCCATTGTTCGAGTACCACCTTCATCAGGGGAAAGTGGTGAGGAATTGAGACTTAGCAACATTCTGAAGAGTAGACATACAAATAAAAATAGTATGTCCTATTCAACCAATTAAACATAATACACTTTGTACATTAAAACTGAGGGCCATATGAACCATCTACCTTGATATTTAAGAAGTGACCTTAAAGTCCTAAAGTGGCCATAATGAGTGCAATGCAGGGTTATTACAAAGATTTTCAGACCATAATTTAGCTCTAGTCTTCTCAGACCAAAGCCTTCTACCTTTTAGGAAGGAGCCCAAGATGCAAGAGGGCTAACCTAAACAGCTGAATGGTTTTTCTGGCTGGGGGCAAGGAGCGAGGTGGACCAGTACTGCAAGGGTCAGAGTCCTCCTGACCAGCTTCCTCAGGGCAGGCCCTTGAAGGACCCTCAAAGCACAGTGCAAAAACAACCACCAACAGCAAAAGCCCTGGAGAGGACTCCTGTGTTCAAATCTTAATCCTGCTTTCCGACTATGTGCCTCTGACCAAGTCATTTTCTAACTTTAGTTTCATCATTAGTTCTTTGAAAGGGAATTGGTTTAGTAGTCCTTAGTCCCATGAAGCTCAACTCTGAATAGTTTAAAGCTAATTAATAATAAAACTGATGAAGACAATGCAGTAAGATGTTACATCGCCCACAGTTTATCTGTGATGTATATGAGCAGAAGCCCAACTTCATTACCCTTAAAATCTCCCCACTCACCATTTTACCAAAAAAACTCTAAAACAATTCTTAAATTACCAAGTTTGGTGTAACAAGAAGTTGACTAGAGGGAGCACACCCCTCCCCCTGCCCCCATACCTGTCATATTTTTCTGAGAGGCATGATGGCCTTTGTTTGGAATGAGGGCGTTCTTTTATATCCAAGAGTTCCTCCTAGAAAGAGAAACCAAATGGTGATTTTTGAATATTTCTCATACCATGTATTTTCAACTTATATTTGTTCTCAGTAATGATCAGCTGGGAGCTGACTGGAGTGCCTATCTTATGGATGTCACACAGTTATTTATTTACACCTGGGCTTATTCCAGAAAGGACTGGAGTTAGCTCATCTTACAAGAAGAAGCTCAAGCAGAATTGGCAAATAACTTCATAGTGATCAGTTTCTTGCTAAAAAGACAATTCTCTCACAAACTGCCATTCAAAAATATAGTTGGAGTCTACAACACTGAATGCTTATCAAGGTATGGAAGCTTCAGGCTTAAATAAAACCTCCAGTTAATTAATATTCTTAAATGCATTCGATTTACAAGCAGATAGATTTTGTCATGTAAAGTTGCAAGAAAACAAAGCATGAAAACATCCATTTACCATTTCTCTGATTTGCCTGTTAACATTTTCTCCCATTTAATTTAGCATTTGGGCTCTCTATACCTTTTTTTTTTTTTTTTTTAAACCACAGAAGAGTAAATTGCATACTCATGGTCCTTAACCCTCAATACTTCAGTGTTTATTTCCCAAGAATAAGGATATTCTTTCACAGTCTCTTATCCAGTTCCATGAGAGAATGAAGCCCTACAGAAAATAATTTAAGTGACTAGTTTTCCATTCTTCCACAGACTGTATTTGGCCAGTATCACTGTAGATGCATAAAAGAGAACCAAACCCATTACATGTAACAGATGCCTTAGGGCATAAGGGCTTACCTTCTACAAAACCTGGTTGAGAAGGGCTGCCCGTTTTATACAATCAGTTGTCAATAATACTTTTATTTAACAATCCCTCCCAGATTCCAATTTGTCAACTAACCCAAAATGTCCTTTATATTGTTTTAGCCTCCAAAGCAGGATACAGTCTAGCATCAGATATTGACTGTCATATTTCTTTGGGACATTTCTACAACTGGAACATCACTATAACATCTTCTTTTAGGACATGGACATTTCTAAAGAATACAGCCTACTTTCCCTCGCCCCCAAAAGAACATTATTCATTTGAGGTTTATCTAATGTTTCCTTGTGATTACACTGAGGCTAAGCATCCATGGAAGAGAATACTAACATTAGAAATGTTGTGTCCATCTCAGACCATCACCTGTAGATACTGTGATGTCCATCTGCCCCTTAGTAGTGATCCTGATTTTGATCACCTGGTCAAGGTCAAGGTATTCTCCAGTTTTTCTACAGTTCAGTTACTACTCTCCCACTTAAAACTAGTGTGCAGTTTGCGAGAAGACTGCACATATCCTGGTCTTCATCAAAATTTCCCCCTGAACTTAGCATCTATTGATGAATCTTGCCCAAACCAATTCTGATTTCCCAACTCTAGGCCTCTGTCCATATCTACCAGTCAGCAGGTGGCATTTCATTGGGAGGGAAAACACAAACCATCCCTCTTCCCCCATGTATTTACCTATTATTGGCATGGACTCATAGATTCCTAGTTTTTCCAATGGTTTAGAATTCATTCATGTCCTTAATTATTTGGGGCTTTTTGGGAGCCTCCTCAAGCTGGTTCCTGTGTCTTCTGACATGCCCCATCATTTTTTAAAAAGCACTTCCTCACTTTGTTTTATCTTGTACCCATCCCAGCCCTTGTGTCAGTCACCTAACTCAGAGAAATCTGAGTTCCTTTAAGTGAGGAATGGTATCAGAACCCAAGGTCTGGGAATTAGATATCCTCACCAGCTTCTCAGTCCTTTCGCCAGAGCTAGGTAGTAAGTGCAATTACACATGCACACGTATACCATGCACATATGTGTTAACATACACACATCTGCTTGTACACATGCAGAGACACAAAAAAACCATTGCCTTCTTGTCATTTACATTCCAACATTTTCTTAACAAAGTAAGAAAGGCAATTCCCAACCTTTCACTGCATAAAATGCTACAACTGCCTTGCATAAAACTATATACATACCACTGTGCATGACCTCAGTAATACCCCCATCTCAGGCCTCATAATAGAATGCCTGCTGCTTCTCTGATCACTGCTTCCCATATCCTGGGGTAAACATGGAGGAATAGATTTACTCTCTCAGCCTATAAGGAATCATTGCACACAAGCATGCCATGAGTTCACTCAGTGTCTTTAGACACTTGAATCATCTAAATATTTTCTTCATGATAGCAAAATGCCCTAGGACCAGATGACATTTTGGTTTTAAAACCAGCATATCAATCATTTGATCATCTGTCTCTTTGATAGAGAGAGTGAACGAGCAAGTGTGTGCAAGAGCACAAGCAGGTAGAATGGGAGGGAGAGGGAGAAGCAAGGCCCCCACTGAGCAGATGATCCCAGAATGCTGGGATCATGATCTGAACCAAAGGCAAACACTTAACTGACTGAGCCACCCAGGCACCCCTATCATTTGCATCTTCTTAGGATTTATTAATGTCTTTTTAATTGGGAAAAAATACCTAGAAAAACCTAGAAGGCTGAGATAAACAAAATTCCAAATAAAAGAAAATGTCTAAAAACTGCCCAAAATTCTGAAAAAAAAAAAAAAAAAAAAAAAAAAAAAAAACTGTCAAAGCAATGACTTACAACCCAGAAATCACCAGTAAAGACTGGAGTCCAGGGAGATCATTAGGACACTGTCAGTGATGCAGGGTGCATTCAGTGGTGGGTGAAGGGTGGGTGGACCAACAGTAGTTATGATGATAGTAAACATCACAGTACAGAAATCCTGAGGACAGGAAGGCTTAAAACATATTCCAGTAGAAACAGGAAGGACCTTATAATATAGGAAATACTTATACTACAGGAAAAAAATGCTGCAAAGCAATTGTCTGCTATTAGAAGAAACCCACAGATTATTTCTATTTCTTTACCACCCTCAAATCCAAACATTAAACTAAGAACCCTAGTACACTATTAAACCAAGAGAAACATATCTTATACTTAAATATGTATACTCTCAATATACTAAAGTTTCTATGTAATAAGGCTTTATTTGAAACTTTTTACTGCCAAAGATAATAGGGAGCCCAGGTGATAGGTGTTTTCTCTTACTACCACACCTGTTGGCTGAATCTAATGATTTTACTTATTTATTTAGGAGTCAACTGGAAGAGATTAACATTTTAACTTACCCACAAAACATGCAGGAGGACCAAAAGTTCTATTTGTGGGGATCAAAAAAATGTTTTCACCAAGGTAACAATCTTACAAAAAGGGAAATGGGGAGATTAAGGAAATATGATGATTCTAATTAATGTGGAATCCCAAATGGGATTCTGGAACAGAAAAAGGACATTAGATAAAGAAAGGAAGGACAGATGAATAAAGTATGGATTTTAGTTAATAACAATGTATTAACATTGCTAATTGTAACAAATATACCATACTAACATATTAACAGGGAGAACTCTATGATCCCAATTTTTCTACTAATCTCACACTATCCTAAAAAATAAAATTTACTTCTACTTCATACCATATACAAAAATAACTCAAAACGTATCAAAGACCTAGTCATAAGAGTTGTAACTATAAAACTCTTAAGAAGAAAATGCAGGTGTAAAAAGTTCATGACCACAGATTAAGCAATGTTTCTTAGCTGGGACATGGAAAAAGCATAAACAACCAAAGGAAAAAAGCAGGTATGTTGGACTTTAGGAACTTTTGAGCTTCAAATGACTATCAAAGTGAAAAGGCAATCCACAGAACAAGAAAAAATATTTATAAATCATGCATCTGGTAAGGGTCTAGTGTCCAGAATATGGACAGAATGTGTATAATTCAACAACAAAAAGACACCCAACGACCCAACTTACAAATAGGTAAAAGGTTTCAAGAGATTTTTCTCCAAAGAAGATACACAAATGGCCAACAAGCACATAAAGAATGCTCAAAATCATTAGTCATTAAGGAAATGCAAGTCAAAACCACAGTGAGATGCCACTTCACAGGTACTAGGATGGCTATTAAAAAAGGGAAAATAACCAGTGGCAAGGACATGGAGAAACTGAAACCCTCGTGCATTGCTGATGGGAATGTAAAACGGTACAGCTGCTGTGGAAAAACAGTGGCAGTTTCTCAAAAAGTTAAGCATGGTTACTCTATGACCCAGCAATTCCATGCCCAGGTATTTATCAAAAGAAACTGAAAAGATTATATCCACACAAAAACTTGTACACAAATGCTCAGAGCAGCATTATCCACAAAAGCAAAAAAATGGACACAACCCCATATGCCCATCAACTGATGAACAGAAAAAATGTGGTAAGCCCATACAATGAATCCATTTTTATTTGGCAACAAAAAGGAATAAAGTATTGAAACATGCTATAACACAGACCTTGAAAAGATTAAAAGAAGCCAGACCAGGGGCGCCTGGGTGGCTCAGTGGGTTAAGGCCTCTGCCTTCGGCTCGGGTCGTGATCCCAGGGTCCTGGGATCGAGCCCCGCATCGGGCTCGAGCCCCGCATCTGGCTCGCTGCTCAGCAGGGAGCCTGCTTCCTTCTCTCTCTCTGCCTGCCTCTCTGCCTACTTGTGATCTGTCAAATAAATAAATAAAATCTCTTAAAAAAAAAAAAAAAAAAGAAGCCAGACCAAAAAAGCCACATACAGTATGATTCTGTTTACATCCAACGTCTAGAATAGGTAAATCCATGGAGTCAAAAAGAGTAGATTAATGCTTGCCAGGGACTGGGGAAAGAGGATAATGGAGAGACTACTAATGGGTACAGAGTTTCTGTATGGGGTGATGAAAATATTCAAGAATTAGGTAATAGTGATGGTTATACAACTTCGTGAATTTACTGAAAACCACTGAATGGTACACTTTCAAAGGGATGAATTTTATTATGTGAATTATATCTCAATAAAAATTATTTTTAATAAATCAAACTAAGGTGTTGTTACCAGAGATTAATACTTTAATTTCTTTTCTTACAGACTTACTGCCCTAATCACAGACTGATAAATGC